CAAGTCTCACCCCTCTCCTCTCAGATATCAAAGATTGAATTTTTAGAACAACAGTTGCAGCAACATATATCGTCAGCAAAGTCTAATTTGAATCCCAGTTGTTTGATGTCCCTCCGCTCCAACGATACTTCCAAAGTTTCAGATATGTTCGAACTTTTACTGGCCAAAACAATATCCCTACTACTGTTGTTTTTAATGACATTTCTGCTGAATCTGATCAAGAAAGGCCAATGTATTTAACAGATACTTCCACTCTATTTTTACCAGGAGTTATTTCAGCCGTCCGGACCCTCAGAATTGCCTATTATCTTTCCTAACCTTAGTGACATATCTATTTCTGAAGAAGAAGTATTCCAAACATTAACATCGCTTGATCCTTCTAAGGCTGCAGGCTGTGATAGAATTGGTCCTAAGGTACTGAAGCTCTGTGCTCCAGCTTTATACCAGCCTCTTCCACCATCTATTTAGCCTCAGCCTCTCCCAGTCCTATGTCCCAGCTGAATGGCGCCTGCATCAAATCAAACCTATTTTTAAATCAGGTGACAGATGCCTTGTTCAAAAATTACCGACCTATATCTCTCCTGTGTATTTCCTCCAAGGTATTAAGAAGGATAGTTTTCAATCAAATCCTCCAATTCGTGAACGACAAATATCAAATCACCAGTTTGGCTTCATGCTTTATCGTTCCACCCTGCACCAGTTACTCTTATTTTCAACTCTATTTTCGAATCTTCCAGAAATTCCTCTCAAAACTGATGTCTTATACTTGAATTTCAAAAAAGCCTTTGATTCTGTTGCCCACAATGAGCTCCTATTCAAGTTATGGCACATTGGTATAACTGGTAATGCTTGGAAGTGGCTGCTTGCATATTTAACTAACCGAAGTCAATGTGTCTCTATCAACTCTAAAACATCAACCGCTCTCCCTGTGATCTCTGGTGTTCCTCAAGGCAGCATCCTTGGCCCTTTACTGTTTCTTATCTACATTAATGACCTCCCTGAAGTTGTATTGTCTTCTAAGGTCCTGTTGTTTGCGGATGATGCAAAATGTTTCAAATCCATTTCCAACTTTTCTGACTGTATGTGTCTGCAGATGATCTAAGAGACTAGCACAGTGTTGTGAAGGAAGGGTGTAACACCGTCGAAGTGTGTGGAGGAGCGTAAGCAAAGGTGCAACACGCAGGGCAATGGAGACGGAAGGGGCCGGACGAGGAGGTCGCGTGGAAGTGTGCGAGCGGTTGAAGCAGGGGGAGGGGCGAAGGTAGGGGGGGAGCGTGAGGAGCTGGGGGGGGTGGGAGTTGAGAATGAGGTGTGCGGGCAAAAGGCGGAGGGGGTATACAGGCGGGTATCGGTGGTGTTTTGTCCTTTCCCCTTCCCTATCCTTTTACTTTCCTTTACCCAGGCCCAGTCTAAACATGATAGAAAATCGGAGGAGCCGAGGCCATACGCGAACTCGGGGGTGATGTGGGGGTCGAGAGCGAACACAAAGCATATACCGGTTCCCGCTTTTTTTGTTCTCTTCGTTGTCCCCCCTTTCCCCAATACGCTCTCCCCTGCAGTCCTTCCCCTTACTGCTACCAAATTCTCTTCCTATCTCTCTTCAATCTTTCCACCTCCCCCTCCATTCTCCTTCTCCTACCTCTTAACACACCCAACTTCTATTCACACCCTCTCTACCGTCTATTTTGTTTGTGTTGACTCTGACCTCAAATGGAGAGACCATTATGTGTCTATATGGCTAAGTCTTATAAAGTACTTGGCTTACTTAGAAGAGTCTTCTCGTCCGTTACTGCCCCTGGGCTAAGAAAACTTCTGTATGTATCCCTCATTCGATCAAAACTACTGTACTGCTCACCCATCTGGCGTCCTCACCTTCTGACCGATATTAAAGCTCTGGAAAATGTACAGAGACGGGCCACCAAATTTATTCTTAACAGCTATGATTCTAACTATCACCTTCGATTGCTTGACCTTCAATTGCTTCCACTAATGATGGTCCTCGAAATTAATGACATACTATTCTTTATTAAGTCCTTGAAGGAGCCATCTGATCATTTTGACATATCCAGATTTGTTACATTTTGTTCTGGCCAAACTCGTTCTGCCTCCTATGTTAAATTGAAACACGTTTTAGTCACAACCAATAACTCTACTCGAAACTTCTACTTCAATCGCCTACCTCACCTTTGGAACTCTCTCCCTCGTATTGACATGAGTCAACCAATAACATCTATAAAAAGTAAACTCTACAAATTGTTTTGGAACCATTTCACTACGAACTTTTATCCTGGCAATGTGTGCTCATTCCACTACCTCTGTCCTTGTGCTAAATGCTGGTCACTCCCAGTCTCCTTCAATTTTGACTCTTCTCTCCTCTAAATAATTAACTATATACTGTGTTTCTTATATTAGGCTGCTGGTGCACATCACCAGCAGACCTTCAGCACCATTCCACATTTTCACTGCCCTGTCTGCTTCTGTTACCTCACTAAGTGCTGTAAAGTCATAATAATAATAATAATAATAATAAGCGGGTGTGTACATAAGATCTTGTATAACGTACAGCATGCACAACCATGCGAAACTGGCAGAGAAGTGATATCCTGGATGTCGATAAATAATAACTATAATATTATTCTACAATATTGTATCTGGGGTACTTTATACAGCCGAATAAAAAGTCTGAGGGATAAAAGCACCTATACACCTGGCTGCACAATTAAATGAATATCCTTGAAGCAAGTTGGCGATTGTCGTCTCAAGTGCACATGCATGCATATGTACTATGAAATCCTGATGGTAATACAACTATATATATAATTATACTGCTAGGAAACAAACAAGTAAACAACCAGTAGCTATGCTATGAGAGCAAATTAGGCGAAATCATGTCTGGAGGAGTATCTCAGAACTATGAAGCTACAAGACAATAACGAGTGCCATCACGGAATGAATTAAGAGAATTGCTGAAATGCTTGGCATTGTGATGGAACCACAACCATTTCCGTTCTCCAATGACTGCATGAAATCATTAACATCCCAGATGAAAGGATCACAATATTCCATCTCCTCTGGGGGTTTATTGGAAATTTTATCTACAGCCTCTTTCATTATCATCGACATTCCCTCTCTAAAGTAAAGGTCGACAAGGCACTGGAGGAACCAGTACCCAGGATTATTGGAACGGAACTGAACCACCACATAGCCACCTGCAGGAACAATGAATGTGTCCTTCCGAACTGCAAACTTATCTAATGATATCTTCGTATTGGGGAACCTAAAACGAGGGTTAGGGCAACGATTATCGTCAAGAACATCCATGTCATCGCCATCTTCAGTACAAGTCAGGTCTCGTGAACTGCCAAGTAAAAAACCATTATTACGGCTATAGTTACCATATGCGACCTTGAGGATATGCACAGAGTGGCCGTGAATGTGAATAGAGTGAGTGGATTTTCTCTCCCTTCCAACTCCACTGAGGACAAGTCTAACAGTCATGTTGTCACCAATGTCCATCACGGTAGTACACTTACATCCTTTCTTACTCTCACACTCGGAGTTAACATCACAAAATGAGCTCTCGTCATTCTTTTCATAGCGTGTTGTCAATGGATAGGAGGGGAACCTAAAGAGTTTATCATTAATGCTGCTTACTGCTTCTTTATGCACATATCCAGCCAGGTTCATAAAGTACGTGACGTCTGGTGATTCATCTGGCATCTCATCTGATGGAGTAGGCTCAACGAGTCTCACTTTGTCAATGCTAATGCATTCAATGTTGTATGAAGGGTGGAATTTTTCAAAGGGACAGTTCAGCATTTTGCACGGGCTTTCTTGCGTGCATTCTGGTGGGGTGCTTGATATGTTTGCGTATTCTGGTGACCTTGGTTTGTTTGTTCCTGTGTAGTGCAATATAGCTTCCGCTTTATGATCAGTAAAGTTATATGGTGGATTAGCACTGCCTCCAAAATTCATTTCAAATGTTTCAGCTTTCATCCAATAATTACCATTGCTTTGCTTTGTGTCCAAAAGAAAGTCGTACCTTTCTCCTGTATGAATAGCTATGTAGTCAACTTCCATAGGCTCCACTAGATATCCATCTGTGGCCATTACTTTTAGTCTGTGCCCATCAATGGAGAATCGAAAAGCATACATTGTTCCGGTATGAATCAGTCTAAAACGGTAAGTTTGACTTGGCTCAACTTCGTAAACTCGCAAATTAGAGCGTTGATAGGGAACATCAGAATGCCTGCCTTTGCCATGTATTAATGCAGACCAAAATGCGTTTGTGCCAATATTAACATTATCGGGACCTCGTGTTATACTGTAGCCCAGTGATGGATTCAAATCTGAAGGAGCAGTAAAAGGAGGCAAACCTATAAGCCAGCCTACAGCAATTTTCTTGTGTTGAAAGAATTCTTCGGGGTCTTGCCGATACCAGTCCATCACCGTAATAGTGTGACTGGCTGGGTTGTCTATGAATGAAACTGGATACTTGATTTCTTTCTCTTTCACAATCAAAGCTCCAAAAAGACTGTTACCTCGCTGAGACCCCATTTGAGAATGATACCAGAAAGTTCCACTCGGACTGGCTCGGAATATGTAGCGAAATGAGCTTCCCGGTAGAATGGGGCACTGCGTCACCAAACCTACTCCGTCCATGAAGTTGGTCTTGATCTGGTGCTGCCCGTGCCAGTGAATAGATATGCCTTCAGTACTGAGGTTGTTGTGTACGTCAACTGCAACTATTTGCCCTTCATGAACAATCAGAGTTGGTCCTGGGAACTGCTTGTTGACAGATAAAAACATTTTAAGAACGTTGCCATCAACTGTTATTGGTTCAGTACACAGTTTGTTCTTTTCCATGCAAACACCTACTTCATTACAATACAAACCGTCAGATTCTCCAGTTTTCTTGACAAAATTTCCATCCATACATTTCCCCCCTCCTTGGGAAACGATAAAATTTCCTGTCTCGTCAATATACACATGTTCCCCTTGGCCTTCAAGGTAAGGCAAGCTGAAGTTATACCTTGTTAATGTGAAAGCATACTCCACATAAAACTGAAAATTGCAAACTGTAGCATCCTCTGCACATTCACAGGCTGTGTCTAGAGGTCCACAATCGACAAATTCAGTAACATCTGCAGCTGAAGAAACTAGCTGGGCCACTCCAACCACCAGCGAAAGAAGCAGGTACATCGTCATTGCGTTAAAAGTCAAACTCTAGGGTGTATATCTTTAGTTACTGCCTTTTAGAGGGTGCTGTAATTCCTTGGCCTTCAACCTAATAGAGGCTTGTTCGGAATTACAGCACCGTGCCAACTGCCAAATGGGTGCCCAGGTGCATGCACAATACCGACTGAAGCACACTCAATTATTATTGGTATGGTGTTATATACTGTAATTATCTTAAGTATCTACATTTGGCTCTGCTATCCATGCATATGCACTTTTTGCAAGAGAGGACACACTGTTTACACTTGCACACATTTAGTGTAGGTAGCGAGGTAGAAAGGCAAGGGAAGGAAACAAGTCAACTACACCCAGGACAGCTCTTTCTTTTTTAAAAAGAGAAGAAGAGCTGCCCTGGGTCGGATTCAAACCCATGACACTGTCTAGGCGAGCAAAGGCGAGTGCTCTACCAATTGAGCTACCAGGGCAACTCAGATGGTAGAGGTTCGAATGTACAACACAACACAAAGGAAAACCTCAAATCACTGTGCTATGGCACACTATCACTCAGAATGTAGGAGCAGCTGCGGTGCATAGGTTAATCCACCCCCCCCCTATTTACACTTGGCCCTGAAGCAAACAGAGGCTTGTTCGGAATTTAGTAATGGCTGTAAAGCGCCATGCCAACTGCCAAAAGGGTGGCCAGGTGCGTGCACAATACCGACTGGAGCACAGTTTCTATAATGTTAGCCCAATTATCTACATTTCGATCAGTGCTGTAGCTAGCTGCCCTATGCATACACTTTACACCTGGGTAAAACCACACATTGAGTGTATGTTAATGCACCCCTCTCTACAGGCACGCTTTACTGCAGCCAATACAGTAGAGTGAATGGAGTTGTCTCAGTGTGGGTGGCACTCTTATGGCGACAATCAACTATGTCATAAAGATTCACTTGATTTACAATAGCTTTGCCATCTTGTTTTTGAGAGGTAAAATGATATACTAGCTGACACAGAGTATGTAGCACAGCTACAGGCTCGATTGGACAAAGTTTATCAACATGCAAGCAAGGGAAAGATCCAATCTCAACAGAGCGAATGGTACATTAACAAAAGCACAGCCACTCGAGCCAGGACAGCAAATAATCCAAAATGGAAGAAAGGAGTATCCCCCAATCATAGCCGACTGTGGGAAGGACCATACCTGGTAAAGGATCGTAAAAATGATGTGTTGCATCGGATTCAACAAGACCCGAACTCGAAGCCGAAGATTGTCCATCACAACCGGTTCTGGACATATTCTGGCAATAAGTTGCCCTCGATGAATACCCCACACTCAGCACCATTTTAATCTCGTCCAGAGGCTAGCTCGTCAGTAGAGCAGCACGGTCAAAAGAAGGAAGCCTCACAAGAACCACACCATGCAGCAAGGGAAGAAAAGATGCCCCAGACCATGTCAGCCTAGGTGAGGTCATCCGTGACACAGACCACCAGGTCGTTATCGTCCAACATTCGAGGCTACTGGAACTTGAGGAGAGGGGTATGTCACGTTAGTGCTATACCGTCTACCTGACTGTACACAAGTAGCTGTTCATAGATTTGTCTGTTGTCGTGTGTTATGGTCATGTTTCGTAGTAATGTAGCCTATCATATTGTACTTACCTGTCACCATGTTATATACATTGACTTACGTGCTGTTATGCCACACCCTGTTTTGTTATGCATTACCTCATTTGTACTGCGATGATTTTGTGTCAATGCAGTACGTGATTATACTTGAGGAGTTTAGAACACAAACAACATGTCTTAGTGCTTGCTACTACAAGAGACTAATGGGTAAAAGATAGGTAATGACACTGATTTTTACACTTCAGTGGTAAATAAATGAAGTGACAACATTATGAACATCAACAACATAAAATGTCTTATTACAAAAGGCTAATACTAATGACACTGATTTGTACACATAGCAGTAAATAGATAAAGTGACATTAGGTATGTAGTGTAATTATCTTAAGTCACTTGTTCAGCACTAAGAACAATTTCCTCCAGACAGTTAAAGAGATCCGTGTCAACTTCACCCATCAACTGACTGGTATCCCACTCGAGGCTAGTCGCGGTACATGGCAGCTCACCGTCATAGAGAGAAAGCAGGAGAAAACACCCACATTGGTTCCATGAGGAGGGCATTCAGGGTCCATGCTGCATGGTAGATAGCTTGCCACTGACTGAACCAATGCAGCGTGTCCAGCCACTCTTGGCTCTGGCGAAACCAAAGGGGCACTTTCAAGCGTCTGAAACTCTCATTAGGCAAGCAAGAGCAGAGCGTGAAACAGAGGAGTAGAGATCTGACTAGATATGCAGGAGGACATGTAGTTCTGGCCCAGAACCTGACAGTGGCTGCCACAAACCTCCAGTCTTGGTAGTTCCCACTCAGCTTGAGGTTGATGTTTGTTTGCTACACTCAAGGATTTCATAAAATAGACTCTGCCTCTCTTGGTGGCTGAGGAAACCTAAACTGATGTTGCCGTAACAGCTCTGTATACTCTCGCTCTTGCTATTTGCTTCAGTTTTGCTAAGGTCAACCCAGAACACGAACGACCTTCAACTACAGTTTGGACCTCTAGCAAAGCATACATGTGCTCTCGGATGGGTTTCGCTGCTAACACTGAGCTATCTTTCTTGAAATTATCAGCAACAACACGAAAAATGGCCTTGCATGAAACTGCTGCACCCATGGCAGATGATGGGATATGACCCAGGTGAAAGAGTCTAACCAACCATTTAGGAAAACTCGTGCCATTGTGGTGCTTAGATCTGTCGATAGTACTAGTTCTTCGCAACTAAGGTCTTGCGAACCTTCGTACCACTGCTGAGCTTTCAGACATTTGGGCTCCAGTGTTTTCCCCCCGAATGATTCTTCTATGAAGCTTTTGACGGAATTAAATTTACTCAAGTGGCAACATACTTTTCTTACTCTAGGACTTTTCACAGAGCACACCATTAATTTTAAGAAATATGGATGGCATGGCTCCATGAAATCATTGCCCACAAGAGCTGGAATCATACAAATGAGGCTTGTATCCCTAAAGCAAAGTTGACCAGCAAACCAATCACGATGGTAGAAAACGGCAGTTGCTGGATATGACTCCCAGTCGAAATACTTAAAGTGAATGAAACCTCCGACTAAGCGAAAAACAAAGAAGTCCGAATCCAGAGAGAGGACTGGGCAACGGTAGTGGTTGGCCAGTCTGGCGATGACTACATCTGCCTCTCCATCAGCTACATAAAACTGGATCTCGAGATCGTAAAGAGCCATGCGGTAGACCTCACTAGTAAGAGGAGGCAGAATATGCCCTTTGCACACTGCCTGGCGAGAAGCGTTCCTAGTTATGTTTCTGTCTATGGTTATCAGCCGCTCTTTCTTCCTCCCCAGGATAGTATCGATCTTCTGAGTCTCGTCCACGCCGTCGAACACAACGATCGGAGTGATTCCAGACTCCAGGAGTTTGGAATAAAAGCGGCAAACGGCGTTTCTGAACTCCCTGTACTGACCTCCGTTGGACCATTCCATGGTGTGCAGAGAGTGGAGGATGCAGTTCCCGTCCACCACCAGCGTCCCCTGCACGCTGTCGCGCTTTCGACCCATGAGCCCCCTATCAACGAACTTGGTGAGGTGCCTGATCCCCATCGCACAGCAATTCAGCCAGTCCAGTAACGTTTCGATAGATACACGCAACAGGTTTCGTGTGTGGTCGCTAAGCTTGCTTCCTCCCTCGATATGAATCACATGTTGTACTGGCTGCACCTATAATCATACGGAGATGTGAATTTCCTTGGTCGTGTTGTTCCCCGCTCCCAGGGACCCGAAATGTCGTCAAGTGAAAGGGCGATCGTCACGTCCAAGTGCGTGCATGCGCTACGTGCGCGCGTACACATCGAAGGAGGAAGCATAGGTAGAACGAATGCCACGTGATCTTGGTAAGCGAGCGCGAGCAGTTCATTCTTGCATGCAGACGACAGGTATAAGTAGGCTCGCTTTTTATTAGAAGGGGCTGGCGAGCTGGAGCGACAGAACTCTCGTCCATTCGGCAACATTCGCTGCACTCTTCTGTTCTGACAAAGGCTGTACTGCTTCCAATCTCCGTTGTTCCAAGGTGCAAGTTGTAGGATGGCTCGTGCAGACAGACATTGTGTGCTCGCTCTCGCTCGCCAAAAATGCCTTGCATTCGCCTACTTGTTTAGCCTTAGAGTTACAGCATACAATGTCAATTCCTAGCAGTGTACGTAGCTAAACATTGTATAACAGCTAGTCCTATTACCATCCGGCAATTAATTGCTTCCTCCCAGTCAAGACAGTACGTGCATATACGCACGCTGTGTGGACGGTCACTCGCTTGCTTCAGTGCAGCCGCGGTGTGTGTAGCGGTACATTTTAACCCTCGGCGCGCATGCGCAGCAAGGGTTACAGTAGTTTTTTGTCTGTTACCACGTTTTCTGCCACTAGGCGCAACGAGACAGCAAATAAGCTAGGTTCGGCGATACACTGGCTTGATTTTATAATAACTAGTGGAAATGTTGAACATTGTTTGCGAGCGGGAGCGACCCAACTTGGGATTTGCCCGCTTTGTTCGGGCTGCATAACGTGCAGTCAGCGCACAGCTTTCCTCTCGTGAAGCAAGACACCTACCTGTGGCCGTATTTGGAAATAATTTCGGATAAAAAGAAGCGCGTAAGAAGCTGCGCATGCGCACTTACACGACGTACGACCAACGAACGGCTCGCTCAGCGGAAGCGAGCTAACCTAGTGGCGCGATTTTGTCACCGTACGTTGTCGAGCGTCGCCGAACTGCGCATGTCACCGTACGTCGTCGGTATAATACGTCGCCACCCCTGATTATTTGGGCTCCACCCCTGATAATTTGTGAGCGTGTGAAAGAGTTATGGATCGGTCTAGAGAAGATGCTCTTCGTCGTCGACGAGAGAGGGAAAGAGAACGTCGTGCCAGTGAGACTCCTAAGCAGAGAGAG